CAAAATAATGCTTTTCATGCTTTAAAAGCAGCTTTAATGTCGACTCCAGTACTTCGTTTACCTGATTTTTCTAAGACTTTTATTCTTAGGTCTGATGCCAGTAACGTAGGAATTGGTGCCGTTTTATTACAAGAATTTGACGATGGTAAATTTCCAATTGCTTATGTCAGTAAAAAATTACTTCCTAGGGAAACAAGGTATTCAGTTATAGAACGAGAATGCATGGCATTAATATGGGGAATAAATAAGTTTCAGGAATATTTATATGGAACAGAATTTATTGTTGAAACTGATCCCGAACCTCTTGTTTATATTAATAAAGCTAAAGTAAGTAATAATAGAATTATGCGATGGGCGCTTGCTTTACAACCTTTCAGATTCAAGATACGAGCAATAAAAGGAAAAGAAAATGTTGGAGCAGATTATTTAAGTAGAGTTTATTAATTAGATTTTATTTCAGAAATCATCATAGATGTTTCTTCTTGAGTTGGGGGGTGTTGTCACGTATGACAATATCTTTATTAGATAATGATAGGTTACAATGTGGTTTGTCGTGGATGTACTGAATAATACATATATATTCACGCTGGTATTGCTGAATGTTTCAAGGTCACAAGTATTTGTACATTAATAAATATAGTATATATGTTATTGTTGTTTATTACAGTTTATGACAACTGGTGAACATGTTTTCAGATTGTGGTAATAAAGTTTGATTATAAACATTTGATTTTATTGTTATTTGTAAGATGTATGATAGTTATTATTTGCCAAGGTTGAGTAATCCACATGTTTGGTTGCAGATATGATTGCATTGAATGCATGTGAACTGCCTGTTTTGTTGTCGTGATTTGATTGGTTGTGAGTGAAACTGTAGTATACGTGGTGGGAGATATGAATTTATATTGTCACTCTAATAATGGATTTTGGGAGAATCACACATATTCATTGATCATATCATTCATGAATCATTCGTAAAGATATTTCAACTAAATGGGTGTTAGACTGTGTGTCTCGTTGGTTTTGACTGTGTGTCGTTATAATGGTAATCTGTGTGATTATGAGCAATAATTAGTACATTTACTTGTAAGTATTGTTTGATTTTTGTAATGTTGATAATCGTGGATGAATAGAAATAATTTGATTATTTGTTAAACATTGTGTTATGTTTTATAGGTGACCTGATTGTGATTGTGATTGTGATTGTGATTCTGATAATGTTAATGTGCTACGGATAGTGTTACCTATATTGTTAGTCTGGTCGTTATTGTTCCAGTTAGTTATTTTTATGGTAATTAAAAGATATACACGAATAACTCATCAACCTTATCATCTTAATCATCTTTTTAAATGTGCCGTGGAGAGTCAAATGGTTGGTGACTGCTGTGTGCGCGTGTACCATCAAATCGTCATCTCATCAACATATAAACGTGATTAGTGGTCTTTTGAATCGGTGGAGACGGTGATATTATTAGAGAATAATTACATAAATATATATATATATACATATTATAATTGTATTGACTTATATTGTAGTTATATAAAGATATTTAAATTATACTGTGTTTTGTTAATGTGAACTATAAGTACATGACTGTCAATCCGCCCCAAAAAGAACCAAAGGTCCAATTTTGTGACATAGGCTATAACTCTTTTGAAAGTGAGGGAGAGAGAAACGGGGGTTAATGTCCACTCGACACAAACTAGGTCAATTTTATTTCAACAATTCACTGCGAGTAGGGTCTGTAGCAGTGGGAGGAAACCGGAGGATCCAGCGAAAATCCACCCCCAGACCACGGTTGTTTGTCCCACTGACTTGAATATTTAATTTCCCTCCATCCGAGGGTTGGAACATTTTGATATCGATATATATAAGCTACATACAAATTTTAACCTGCTATTGTGCAGACACCTGATGAAAGTTTGGAAGGAGGCGGCAGGACATACTCAAAAACAACTCGGTCCACAATATCCACTGGTTATGGCGATTTGCATAGTTATTCAGTGGCTTAAAATTTGTCTGAGAACCATTGGAAATTTTTTAACATGAGCTAAGACTGGCATGGTGATCAACTAATTTTCTATGTAGCGTAATTCCTAATGAAATTCTCAACAAAAATAAAACTACTATTATTAAATATTATTTAGACAGTTATTAAATCAATAACACGGCATATGTCTGCAATCGAATTAAAATACATTAGGTAAGATTTAGATAAGGAGCTGACAGTTTAAATAGTTTAAAGACAGATAATGATAATAAAAGAATATATTGACACTCTCGGAAATTATGGATTTTCGTTTGCTCTTATATATGACTAATATACCTTTAACATTTGTTTTGTTTCAGCCTTATGATCCAGATTGTAGGAAAACGAAATTGGAAAAATGACTGCCGTCTTGCTCTGCTCATTTACAAGGGCAGCTAAATTTTAACCCGAAAAAGTGTTCCGAAAAGGTTTTCTAAGAATATCGTGATTTTGGGTCAGTCGGATAAATATTACCCAGTTTATAGCTAAAAGCTCGATCTAGGGCGGAAAATAATTTAAGTAAATTTGTGTTTGATATTGACAGCTGATCAGTACATATACATGTATGTTATCACGAAGTTTCAAGCAAAAATTATACAAGCTAAAACGTTTCCTAAAAATGCCACATTCCTAGACTTTGCCATCTCAAACAGAGCTATAGCCTAAAGTCTCAAAAAACAAAATTCTGAATCAATTACCCAACACATTTATTCAAATTTAAATAAGATCTTACCTTTTACACCAAGTTACGTATTTCGGAGAGTTTGCATGGTTCTGACATGTGCCGACTTTTCAAAATACTTTAATCTTTAAGTCACTGCATGTGATGCAATAAGCATTTTTTCTGCGACATGAGCAAGGTGGAAACAGTAAAAAAAAAACATATTAACTCAAACAAAAACAACATTGTTCCACACAAGCTGCACAATGTGAAAGACCTAGTAATAAGTATTATTGTCGTGAAAAAAACGGACGAATTCTCCTTCACTAGACATTTCTAACCGAATGCACCCAATTTGTAAAGTACCTGTCTACCCTAATGCAATATGCAAGTGTTCCATTTAACGCATGCGTAGTCGTAATGTTTATGTTCTTAGAAAGTGACAATGTAGAAATATATGAAATTTACAAGAGAATAAATGGATTTTATCGGACTTCTAGTCATTTAGGCTAAGGGAAGAAGTCAAAGGGGTGAAAATTCCAGGTATGTCACAGAGTTTTAGCCAATTTAATTAAAAAATTAAAAATTGGCAAGCAATTTTCGAGTCGTAGTATTAGCTGGAACAGACAGTAGTTCTATGAAGGAAATTTTATGTAGCCTATGTTTCTTTCTCTTTCCAAGTATCAAGGATTCTTATATATATATGTGCTGTACAAAGGACATTATTTTTTATCCTGTCCGAATGACTAGAAACTGTTCCATGCCAGGCCCTCCATCCTGCACCACTGACAAGCTGGAACAACGCTCATAAATCATGAGGAACTGTCTTGGCCAATGCCAGGATCGAATCGAAGGGGAGCAGGTCGTTTCATCCCACTACCGGTTCATCTCGGGCTGTTTCATCCCAAATTTACACAGGTCCTTTCATCCCACTTATATCGGGTCGTTTCATCCCACAAATTTAAAAACCGGTATTACATGAATTTTTAATATTTTATTTATACATTAATACAAATAACAACATGCCAATGCAATTTTATCATGAATAGTGTCCAACTCCTTCTTTTGCATACGCCTTAGCTTATTTTCCGAATATTTTATTTATACGATGTCAATGCAATTTTAATATGAATAGTGTCCAACTTCTTTCTTTGTATACGCTTTAGTTTATTTTCCGAATTCTCGACACCAATTTCACTAAAATGACATTGCTTACAATCGAGCGATGCTCATAGCAAATCATTCAACTTGTAATACACTGTATAGCCATTTGCATGCATGTTGGTTTCACTATCACAGGATTGCTAGTGATAGAACAGATCAAAGGATAAAATTGCACGTAGCCACTACTTCGACACGTGTTATCTTTAGATGTTCAGACTACCTGGCGTCTCAAATAACCCAATGTTAAAAGAAAGCATGCAGTGTCCACCTTACAACAGGTTCCATTGATTTACGATTTATTTTATAACTTATCACACAGTTTAGACCACTATGTGTTACGATTCGCATGTTGGTATTCTAAATGAATTCTTATTCGAATTTCTTATATTTGGAGATGTTTAGTTTCATTTAATGTACGGAAATTAAATCAACGATTAGTTTTAAAATTAATTATGGTTTCGAAATAATATCAATCTAATTTGTCTTATTTAAAAGGGGCTCCTGCGCAATTTAGTTGATTATTTGGTAATATGTAGAGTCCATGATGTATTTTTGGCGAGTGATTCAGCTGTCAATATGCAATCATAAAACACCTTTTTATAAAGAAGATAAATGAAGTTAGACATCATAAACTAACAAACTTCCAGTATACTTTATTACAAAACCATCGGTGAACTAATCTAAAATCATAACGGAAATTAACTAACGATACGAATAAACAATACGAATATACAGCGGTGAACTAATCTCGGCCGTGATCGGTAATCAACAAAAATCGACGAGTAAAACTTATTTATTCAATACATTATTGTTTATTTAACAATAAGTAAGTGTTTAACAGTTTATTTAACGATAAGTACAACTCAGTTAATTAACTGCTATTATAATATTTTATATGAAGATATGACAAGTGGGGTAATAATCTAGCATTTAATGGACTCACTTCTAAATCTAAGGCTTCTTCTAAATGTGATATATATATATATATATATCGACAATGCTGAAAATACTGGGAATTGTGGTTTTGGAAAGATATGATTAGAGTTCAATATTTAGGGCAACTCTTCTGGCGACGTTGAAATGACAGTTGACGTTGCATAAATAAGTTGTGAAAAATGACACGTCGCCTTGGCTTCGATACTTACCTGACCAATAATTCCAAAAAATATACATTGCTACAGCATCCAATGAAAACAAAACAAACCGATAATATATGGTACATAATTATTCGGTTGTCTAGTCCTATTTAATGACCTGCTATTTTGCCAAATGTCTTCGCCGTACGTTTAATTTAATGGTTTTTTTTTTTTTAATCAAAACAAACGGAAGTAGATGCTGACATCTGCCGGCAAACTTTATATCGCTTACAACATTAAGAAATATTAACTCAGATTTTGCAAATCCACTTCATGAAATTGGTTTAAAATTGTCCCATTTTTACCAGGTATGGGTTTTACCATGAATGAATCTCGCTGTTTTAACTGTAACGTCTATTTTATTTGAAAATTATAATATAATTCTTGACGTGATCATTTATTGTTGAAAGCGCAAGCGAGCAAGTCAAGTATGGCCGCCAGGACAGAAGTAATGGGTAGGCTAGCTAAATAATTGATATTTTATTAGTCTGCTAAAATGTATTTTCAATTACCATTTTCTTTTAATATGCATCTGCCCATTTTTACTGTAGACCCTACTAGGTCTCTCAGACCCCCCCCCCCCCCAGACAACCAAAGTCTATTTTAATCAAAGACAGTCATGCCCTTTTTTCTCAGCCTGAACTATTAATCCAACAAGTTAGATGTTACTCTTTCATATTCTGACGACGTAACATCTAACATCCGAAAGGTCAAAAGCTCGTCGCAGAAGTTGATAATATAATTTTTAGCGTAAATATAGATGGGACGGGAGAAAGGAATTCCAGGGGGTGTTACATGTCCGGTGAACGAGGTTCATGTAATATAATGTCATACACATGTGTGAAATCGTCTTTTGATAATCAAATTACGGTATTAGTATTACAGATATTTTATAATCAGAATTCAACACCTCAACGGTGAAGTATTCATTTAAAACGCAAGTTTGGTACCATGATGCTTATATTTGGTGGAATTTACGTGGATACAGATTATAGAATTGCACGAATCTTCGTGTCGCTGAGCCAAAGCAGATTCGCTGGCTTGCAAGAAATTTTAGGCCTCCTGATTTCGAAGAAATAAAACGGATTCATATTACGAAATTTATAAATTCATATGGACTGCGCTGTCCGTAAAGCCCTAAACGCTTTTACCAATTTAGATTACCGGTATCTTTATTTACAAGAAAATTGAGGTGGGCGGAAATCTGCTTCAAGATATTTTTGCCGGGCAGACAATATTGGTACTGGGCGGTGCTGCTTAATTCACTTAATTTGAATTGTTCGTTTGTTTGTGATTTCTGCGTAGTGTGTCTTGTCTGTATATTTGTTTTTGTGTAAATTATGTGTGGTGCAGCCCCCCCCCCCCCCCCTGCACTTACTATTAATAAAATTTCAGTGTTTGTTGGTACTAACATCAAGTAGATTTTACGCTTGGATGCATTGGGAGCAAACATCAATACTTGCATCGTTAAATTTAGCCGTTACTGAAACTTGCCTGGAATGAAAATTCTTTGACTCAAATCTCTCCTATAACTTCTGTAAACATGTCATTTTGTACTAACATTGATACTACTGTCTACCATTGTGATGTATTTGATATTAATCCATTTTTGTGAAGAAAGTCTGTAAATTAATTTTATTTTATCCCAAAAGCACATGTCCAAAAAAACAATCGCTGAATTTGTCACTGATTTTCAGGGGGACGTAAATTCTGTATGTAATATCGGAGGCGCTAAAACTTTTGTTAAGCAACAAAGTGGCAATGGAAAATAGATACTGTATGATCGTGACAAAACTGGGCTTTGACGGTACTTTTAATTTAGGCAGGGGACTATTAAAATGGGTTCCTCCGTCTGTCTGTACGTCTGTCTGTCCGTCACACTTTTTGGGACACAATAACTCTCTTTCTAATTGAGCTAGAATTTTCAAACTTAGTGTAGGTGTTTATTAAGTCAATGCCTTGATTGAGTTTGAAGATGGGCATTTTCGGTTTAGGTTAAGCAGAGATAAGCCATTTGATTGGTTGATGCTTTGGGACACAATAACTTTAGTTCTAATTAAGTGAGAGTGATGAAACTTGGTGTATAGTTTCATAACATCAATACCTTGACTAAGTTCGATAATGAGCATTTTCTGCTCCGGGTAAGCAGAGTGATAAGCAATTTGATTGGCCGAGACCTTGGAACACAATAACTCTCATTCTAATTGAGGTAGAATGTTCACACTTGGTGTAGGTGTCCATTAGGTGAATGCCTTGATGGAGTTTGAAGATGAGAATTTTCTGCTTAGGGTAAGCAGAGATAAGCAGTTTGATTGTTTGATGCTTTGGGACACAATAACTTTAGTTCTAATTAAGTGAGGGCACTTGGTGTATAGCTTTATTACATCAATACATTGACTAAGTTGGATTATGAATATTTTCTGCTGAGGGTAAGCAGAGCGATAAACAATTTGATTTGGGACACAATAACTTTAGTTCTAATTAAGTGAGGGCACTTGGTGTATAGCTTTATTACATCAATACATTGACTAAGTTGGATTATGAATATTTTCTGCTGAGGGTAAGCAGAGCGATAAACAATTTGATTGGTCGAGACTTTGGAACACAATAACTCTCCTTCTAATTGAGGTAGAATGTTTAAACTTGGTGTAGGCGTTCATTAGGTGAATGCCTTGATGGAGGTCTATGATGAACATTGTCTGCTTAAGGTAAGCAGAAATAAGCAATCTGATTGATTGATGCTTTGAGGCACGATAACTTTGGTTATATTGAAGTGAGAGCGATGGAACTCCGAATATAGATTCATTATATCATTACCTTGACTAATTTCGATGATGAGAATTTTCTGCTTAGGCTAATGAGCGATAAGCAATTTGATTGGTCAAGACTTTGGAACATAACAACTCTGCTTTTAATTGAGATAGAATGTTTAGACTTGATGTAGATGTTCATTAGGTGAATGTCTTGACTGAGTTCAACGATTAACGTTTCGAGCTGAAGCTAAGCAGAGCTAATCAATTTCATTGGTCAATGCTTTGGGACAAGATAATCTTGATTCTATCTGATAGAGAGTGATGAAACGTAGTGTATAGTTTGATTGCCTGATGCTTTTGAAAAATAAATGTGCAAAAAATTAATGTGTGTCATCTATTTATTTTGGGATTTCGGCGGGGGACGTCAGCCTCACTGTTGGCTTGTTTTGAATAATAACCTTGTCAAAATATTTTCCCAAAGAAGGGACTTCCATGCTGATGTACAATATATAAGTTTTTTTGACGGTTGCGAAAATTTTATATCAAAAAGTGGGTAAACCATTTTTTCCCGTTATTTGTACGTTTTTGTAAAAATAGCCCACACCTGGTATATAGCTTTATTATATCAATACCTTGACTAAGTTCGGTAATAAACATTTTTTGCTGAGGGTAAGCAGAGTGATAAGAAATTTGATTGGTCGAGACTTTGGAACACAATAACTCTCCTTCTAATTGAGGTAGAATGTTCAAACTTGGCTTAGTTGTCTATTAGGCGAATGTTTAAACTTGATGTAGATGTTCATTAGGTAAATGTCTTGACTGAGTTCAATGATTAACATTTCGAGCTGAAGCTAAGCAGAGCTAATCGATTTTATTTGTCGATGGTTTGGGACAATATAATCCTGATTCTATCTGATAGAGAGTGATGAAACTTAGTGAAAAAAATAAATGTGCGATTAATTAATATGTGTCATCTATTTATTTGGCGGGGGAAATCAGCCTCACGGTTGGCTTGTTCAATCTTCAATCAGTATGAAATAATGTTCTGTTACGTGTGAAAACAATGATCAGGGTTTGTCATTTAATAAAACAAAAATTAACAGATAATCTGGGGTTTATTGTTATTTTCACGGTTCTTTTCTTATTACCTGATCGGTTTGGGCAGATAATTAACTATTAATCATGGGATAAGCGGAGGTGCTACGAAGTATGACAAGATGGTATCATTCAACAATGGCTTTTGAATGGGCAATGTTTTGTTAAATTTATTAGTAAAATAGTGACCGTTGATTAGAGAGATGAAACAATAGAATATCTAAGGGGGGAATTTATCATGACCGCTTATAAGGAGATGATGCTGAATAGCAGTGGTTGCTCGTACAGATTCTACTGTATTCATGTTTCAATATCTATTTTTGAACTATTATATAGCAAGAACGGACAACTCTTTATCTAAATCTCACATACAGTAATGCATCTTTAAGATGCCAGTCATGAAAATTACCTTGAGTACAGATTCTACTGTTTCAACGGTAGCAAATCTTTTAGCTTGGATTCAGTCAGATCCAATATTATTTCATAAAATTTCAGTTTTTGCAGATTTATTTCAAACCTATATTCTTTGTGGTATGGAATCTGTAGAGAAACCTTTTTGAAATTGTTTTTATACGCCCACATGAAAATAACTTCCGTTAATTTCGTCTGGAGTTATGGCCCATGTTTCACTTTGTTGCACCGTGTGAACACTCTAACAACAAAAGTTATCAACCGATCTGTATGAAATTTATATGTATCATTTGAATTAGTAAAACAAAGCCGCCTATTGAATTTCAGCAATTTCCGTTAATTAAATCTAGAGTTATGGCCCATGTTTCACTTTGTTGAATTTTGTGAACGCTCTAATGACAACAGTTATCATCCGATCTGTTTGAAATCGATATGCATCATTTAAATTAGTGAAACAAAGAAGCCTATTGAATTTCAGCAATTTTCTTTAATTATGCCGTGAGTTATGGCCCTTGTTTCACTTTGTTGTACCTTGTGAATGCTCTGACAACAAAAGTTATTATCCGATCTGTATGAAATTTATATGTATCATTTGAATTAGTAAAACAAAGCCGCCTATTGAATTCCAGCAATTTCCGTTAATTAAATCTAGAGTTATGGCCCATGTTTCACTATGTTGAATTTTGTGAACGCTCTAATGACAACAGTTATCATCCGATCAGTTTGAAATCGCTATGCATCATTTAAATTACATGTAGTGAAACAAAGAAGCCTATTGAATTTCAGCAATTTCCTCTAATTATCGCGTGAGTTATGGCCCTTGTTTCACTTTGTTGTACCTTGTGAATGCTCTGACGACAAAAGTTATTATCCGATCTGTATGAAATTTATATGTATAGTTTAAATTAGTAAAACGA